TGAAGTGTGTACTAAATCATATATATAATGTGTAATAAATCATCATATATACACATATATATATAATGTGTAGTAAATCATCATATATACATATATATAATGTGTAATAAATCATCATATATACACATATATATATAATGTGTAGTAAATCATCATATATACATATATATAATGTGTAATAAATCATCATACATACATATATATATATAATGTGTAGTAAATCATCATATATACATATATATATAATGTGTAATAAATCATCATACATACATATATATATATATAATGTGTAATAAATCATCATATATACATATATATATAATGTGTAATAAATCATCATACATACATATATATATATAATGTGTAGTAAATCATCATATATACATATATATATAATGTGTAATAAATCATCATATATACATATATATATATAAATAATGTGTAATAAATCATCATATATACATATATATATATAATGTGTAATAAATCATCATACATACATATATATAAAGTATCGGAAATAATTGTTGAAATACACATACAATACAAATACAATGAGTAATTGCTATTAAGCGGTCAGTTTCTCATTGGTACAATACATTATTACAGAAAGTACAGAAGAAAAGAAAGTAAGTTGTACTGTACACTATAACTTTCTAATTTTTTTAAAAAGAGCAACATACATTGTTTTTTGTTTGTTTTAAAACTCATATCAGGACTTTGTGTAGACTAATCCATTGTCGCAAGTGTTCTTTCGCCCCCCCCTTTTGTTTCCTGGAAGATGAATCTTTCTCCAGCAGGCGTTGTTCCTGAAGGAATGACATGATAGATAAGAATCGACATATACCAATCAGCAGCCAGGGTGCCATAGATTCTGTGTATAGATATTGAACACCATTGGCTGAGATGCATGTGGTACCACAGCATGCTTCACTCTGGATGTCGTATGTGACCATGATATCGCTTTCCTCTCTGCCATCTAACAATGTATCGTTGATTGTGTCAGTCTGTCTGTCCTGAAAATGCGCACGCGCACTTCATTTCAACGGATGTAAACAAAACTAATGTTAGACCTAATACTAGTGGAGTTATAGATTTCGGTGTCTGCGATTATACGTCTTTTGTATATTAAAAAAAAATGGCACGTGTATAATGTTCAATCGTAAATTATTGAATAAGGATGATGGACCTGATGGAAATGTTGTCAGCAGATGGCGTGAAATTCTTTAATATGTAAATTGGTGTTTTGATAAAATAACACTTATTTATACAGTGCAAAACATAACACTTCTGAGGATGACGCAAGATATACATCGAAACATGTAGAGTGTATGAGATTGTTTTCCAGTCAAGTCGGGGGATTTTACCACTTTTTAACCTTGTACAGTAAGTTATTATTTTAATAATTTGGAGACTGGAAACAATCTCATTTTATTGAATCGTGTATAAAATAATCGTTGTTTTTAAATAAAACTTTTAGTTTTAGAAAATGTATTAAATGTTGTTCTTAGACTCTGTAATAAGGTCCTAAGATAAACTATTGAAATAACAGATGAAACAGGATTTGAATTTGAGCCTTATAAAAAATAAAGAAATTTGATAATGTATGTGTTTATTAGTTTTGTTGTAAAGCATAAAACTACACAATGCGCCATCTGTTGTCAACCACATGCATCGCAACCGGCGTTTCTTAGATTTTGAAATATTTGCTCATTACTGTCATTTTCTAAACTCAACAAATAGTAAGAATTATTTGTTTGCTTGTTTTATTGTTAAGAGCAACGCTATACCACGGGTATCAAAATCCGATTTTTAGCGTTATAAGCTGACGGGCTTACCGTTGAGCCACTGGTAGCCAATATGAACACTACGAATAAATCGGAGCTTGAATAACAACAGTGTGAACTTTTCGTTTGTGAAAAACTTTCATTACTGCATTATCTGAAAATATTTGACCATAAAAGCAATGTCATTAAGCCTCTTAAAATTTTCAGCTACATACTTTAACATCATTATGTCAAAACACAAGTGAATCTAAATAATAAATGGACGAAAAAATAAATAATAAAATTTGAAATAAAAAGGGGTGAATAGAGAAGCAAACATATTTGGAAACAAAACCTCATACATATATTATATCAAACATTCTGTTGATGTGGACGTACTTTATATTCACTATGAGGAAAACTAATACACTGGATAGATGAAGCGAAGAAAAGGCGTCATTGGCCACTATTCAGTTTTTCACATTATATAGCTGCACGATAGTAGGCATAATAAATACACTTAGTATTCCGAAATTTGTTTAATCTCGAAGTCTTAAATTCAAGGGAAGTCCAGTTCAATCCACACTCCGATGAACGTGTGTTATTGGGTTATACTAGTTTCGGAGAATTATACTCCTCGTCAGGAACTCTGAACACAAGTTAACCAAAGAGAGATAAGCTGGACCGATATCATAGTGAAAAGTATCAAACATACTGTTGGTGTGAACGTGGTTTGTATTCACTATGAGGCAAACCTATACACAAGAGTTGGCGGTGGGTGGTGATGGCTAGTTGCCTTCCCTCTAGTCCTTCACTGCTAAATTAGGGACGGCTAGCAAAGATAGCCCTCGTGTAGCTTTGCGCGAAATTCAAAACAATGATTGTAAGGTAAACATTCTCAGGGTGTAAATTTTTTAGTATAAATCTCCTTATATCTTAAGACGTTCTTGACAAAAACTATGCTATGAAAAGCCATTGAATATTCAAGGTAATAATCTAATTTCACAACACTTAGGACGTCAAAACAAAACAAAAAAGGAGTCGTCACCTTGTCTTTCCCCAAAAAGTATTTTAATAAGATCTGAAAATGTAAATAATTATAGTATTTTTGCAATGATTTTAGACCCCCCCTCCCAGTGGCACATCGGTATGTCTGCGGACTTACAACGCTAGAATCCTGGTTTCGATACCCGTGGTGGGCAGAACACAGATAGCCCATCGTGTAGCTTTGTGCTTAATTACAAAACAAACAAGCAATGTTTTTAAGTATTACATTGAGTTATTTGGTCAAGCTTATGATTGCATACGACTTCTTGTCATTATTTTTTCTATTATGTTGTTACACTTTGTATTAATCTCGTTGACAACTAAAATTATTATTTCATTAATAGATTCTTTCCATTTTATGGGGATCAGTTACTTTTCTAAACGGTAATATTGCATTATAATAGAAAACGTTGAATTGTTTGATAAAACTGTGATAAAATATATACTTCCTAGTAAATAAACCGGAAAATCTGTTAACTTGTTTTATTTATTTGGAAAGTCGTATATTTCTCAATATTGGTAAAGAAGTGAGGATAAGGAAAATTATTAGATCTAACAATGAGTAAAAAAGACATTCTTGATATACAAATACCAAAAATATTAGTGAAGAAAATCCCAAACTGTTAATAAAATTTTACAATAAGTATGTCTCAAGTTACATATCAAAGTCACACATTCAACGAGAACTCAAACTTATTGGATGTCACTGATCTCACACAGAGCCATCGGAACATTCGGCCTTTGACTTAAGCGTGAACTGTCTTGCTTCTACCGAAAAGCATGCAATTGCAACTACCTTATAACAAGAGAAGTAATTGATGCAACCGGAAGCACAAATTAAGATCAATCACACGCTCATTTCTTACAGTTGGGAGAATTTTACACTCAGTTCTTCTTAGCTTTAAGTTTTTTTTTCTTGGCGAAAATCTCCCTAGCATGATGCTCCAAGCATATCTCCTGACCAAGACAAAAGTAACAGTCACTATCTTTTTGTGTACCTTCCACCGTTGTCACACCGTAGAGAGCGTGACACAAGAACACTACTGCTTTATAAAGGAAACTCTTCACATCGAAATGTCTTTATATGGACGAAACATTAGACCGATCGTTTGAGACTCAAAGAAGCAGCTGGATGTGTTTCTGTTATGTGGAAGTTTTAACAAAGGGGGGACTTAAAGTAAGTAAAGTTCGTATTAGAACTGAGACATTAGACGCTGCTGCAAATAATTTTATGACATTTTATGACTCGAACTGATTTTGTGCTTAAATTTCGTGATTGTTTTTAGTCTCTTTGGTTGAAGAAACATGCGTTTTCTTTTAGAGGGCAATTTCAATTTTATTTTACATTTCTTTAGTAAAGAAGAATTATTTGAGAGAGAAAAAAAAAGCTCTACTATGCCAACTGAGAACCCGTCAGGATCTTGAAAAGGGCATGTTGCTTTAATCGTTTCAGTGTGTGTATGTGTGTTTTCTTATAGCAAAGCCACATCGGGTTATCTGCTGTGTCCACCGAGGTGAATCGAACACCTGAGTTTAGGGTTGTAAATCCGAAGACTTACTGTTGTCCCACCGGAAGACGAATCGTTTTAGAGAAAAAAATCTTATTAGTACGCTCTTTTACAGTTAGTGCTTTATTTTCAGATCCTGACTATTAACGAATATATAGAATACATTGCTCATCTAAATCGAATGTATATCTTCTTTTGTTTTTTTTTAATTTCGCGCAAAGCTACACGAGGGCTATCTGCACTTGCCGTCCCTAATTTAGCAGTGGGAAGGCAGCTAGTCATCACCACCCAACACCAACTCTTGGGCTACTCTTTTACCAACGAATAGTGGGATTGACCGTCACATTATAACGCCCCCACGGCTGAGTATGTTCGGTGTGACGGGGATTCGAACCCGCGATCCTCAGATTGCGAGTCGAGCGCATTAACCACCTGGCCATGCCGGGCCCAATTGTTATGGTGTTAGTATCTTTTCTCAATTGGTGAAGCATGATTATAATTAATTATACAGATGAAACTAAATTCAAATTGTTTGGCAATAATCAATGACACTTTGTTTAATAGCTCAAACACAAATGGTATCATAAACAATTTACAATATCACAGTGAAACGCATTGGGAATCATTACCAGCCTGAGGTTGCATCTCAGCCAAGGGTGCTAGTGTTCTAAACGAAATTGATGGCATCCTGACTGCAGACAAGTACAAGTTCTTTTTAATTCATCATGTCATTCTGTTAGGAACACGACTTGTTAAGCGAGGATTCATCTTCCAGCAAAACAACCATTTCTGGTATACGATGAAAGTCATGAAATAATATATTGATAGCAAAGAAACCAATAGAACACTCACAACTGTAACTTGGCCTACACAAATCTTGATATGAATATTACTGAGACTGCATGGGCTTACGTAGAAACTGAGAAGGTCAAAAGAAAACCAAGCAACTTGGTTAAATTGTGGAGGAGGCCCGGCATGGCCAAGTGGTTAAGGCGCTCAACTCACTATCTGCGGGTTCGAATCCCTGTCCCACTAAACATGCTCGCCCTTTCAGCCGTGGGGGCGTTATAATGTTCAGTCAATCTCACTATTCGTTAGTAAAAGAGTAGCCCAAGAGTTGGCGGTGGGTGGTGATGACTAGCTGCTTTCCCTCTAGTCTTACACTGCTAAATTAGGGACGGCTAGCGCAAATAGTCCTCGTGTAGCTTTGCGCGAAATTCAAAAACAAACAAACAAACTCAATTGTGGAGAGTGATACAGGACATTTATAGCAATATTAGAAAACGTACAGTGATAAACTGTAAAGCAGTATGAAAACAACATATAATGTTCTGTGTAAAACAAAGCATACAAATGTAAAATTATTTGCTTTTTCTTTATATTTTCTACGATGTTGTTTTGTGTCAATAGTAAATTCAAACTGTAGTTGAAATTAATCGTTGTTTGTAATCCTGTATTTGTATCACTTGTGTGTTTTCATGATTATTTACATAACTTTATATAAAAGGTTTTGTAACAAAATAGTTAATTTAATCTATTATGAAAGTTTGAAAAATATTTGTCCATTCTCACAATTTTAAAAATAAATAAAAAAGGTTAAAATACTGTTGACTTAAATCAGTATGATAATTTTTTTTATAATGGTACCACATGTAAAATTCGGAAGTATAGTCTGGTAAAATGTTTTTCTGGAAATCAAGGTATATATAAGAGGTCCATATTACACTGCTTTTAATGCAACAGTTTTATAACGCGTAAATAGCTTGAAATCGAATAGCACAGATACCTTTGAATGAGCAAAAGATTTTGTAGGTTTGTTGTTATGTGCAAAGCAACACAATGGGTTGTCTTTGAAATATTTTTTTTAGCATCATAAGCTTTCAAACTTACTGAAGAGCCAATTTTAAATATTAGTACGTTTAATTTCTGATGCTAAGTTAAATTCTTATTAAATAATTCATATCACCCATGAAACATTGAAAAATAATAAAATAGTTCACAAATGTATTTATTATGTTAGGTGTTTATAGTGCACTTTTTTATGGATAGAATAAATAAATCATGTCTTTACAAAACACACACTGATTTATTTACAAAATTTAAATAATATAAATGTACACAAAATAGCTTCAATAACCTGAAGGAATCTTGCAATCTTAGGCTAATTTTGTGCTCAGTTGATATAAAAAGGATGAACATTAATTATGTTATACATCATACAACTTTACTAATAATTACTGATATCTTGTTTGTCTTTCCATTGAAGGTTATCAATCAATACGTAACTAATCATCACACAAACCAACCCTGATGCACTATTGTGTTCTTTGGTTAAAAAAATAACTTGTGCACACTCCAATAAATAAAGGCATATTGTCAATGTATGTAATTTTATATACATATACAAATATAAACAATGTTATAAAACTTTACACATACACACACAAGAAAAACAGCTTAATATCTGCTTACTCAAATGTTTTGGGAAAAACTGACAACTATACATAAATTATGTATTACCACAGATATACCATGCTTGAACATACTATAAACACAGAATGTTTATAAAGCTAGATACGAACTTTTTCGAGCCATAGAACATCATAAAAGTTGGGCACTATAGCAATTCAAGTTCTCAGCACTAGTTGCTCATATGGTTTAGTCCAATTAATTTAAGTACAAGATTTTGTTTCTGCACAATAGTTTCTTAAAAGTGTCAGTAACTGTTTACATCAGATGATGTAGACTGGCACTTGACATTAAATAATTAACCTTATAACCTTCACCTTCATGCTTAGGAGGAGGATTTTTGTACACAATTGAAAATAAATCAGAATATCATATTTCATAAAACATATTTACACTAGACGTGTGAGAAACGTATATTTCTAGCCATGAAAAATATAATTTCAAAATTATTTATCTTTCACTGGTTGAGCTGATTAGTGGAAAAAAAGTATATCTATATATATATATATAGCAGCTGCTCAAGAGTTTTCCTCTTTTACTTCATCATACACCAGAAATACGAAACAGTAAATGGTAGCAAGATTTTTCCATTGTTCACTTGAATACTGAACTACATTTGATAAATATTATGCATAAAAATAATTAATTTTACTTGTAAAATACTCTAAAGTTTTAATTATAATAGTGACCTTACAGAACATCACACAAATGCCCTACTTTTTTAAAATAAATATACACAAAAAATTTTCTAGTGGGGGGAAAAAAAGTTACAGTACAGGAATGGTTAGAAATTGCTATGAAGCATGAGGTAATTTTTAAAGAAATATTTATATATTAGTTAAGAATATGTGGCATTTATTTTTTGTAAGGCATCACATTAAACTTACATTATAACAGAAATAAATTTGTATTTATTACTACAATGGTAAACCATATGTATGGTTTGTTACATAAATGTTCATGCGATTTGACCAAGTAAGCTTAAAGATTATTGCCAAATATACAAAATTACTTTGGGACCAAATGAAAAAAAGACTTTTTTTTTCCAAGAAATTCTTAGAGAAAAATACTTTTTTTTTTCCAAGAAATTCTTAGATAAAAAGACTTTTTTTTTCCAAGAAATTCTTAAGTGGGTTAGGTAAATATGGGTACAAATCTGTCTTTTAATTAAATTCATTACATCAACAAGTATTTTACTAAACCTTTAGAAATTATTATTTTAAAATGATCCTTATACATTTTCCTCAGTGGCAAAAAACAAGATTAAAAAAAAAAGAAAAACTAGCTCAAAAACTTTTACGTACATAATCTGAATATTTCATTGTTTACTGAAATTAAATTTCATATACTTAATGCATTGTTTCTATGCTACTTCTACTCATTAAGTTAGTAGATGTGAAAGTGTTGTCCTGGTGACTGATGGTTTTATTATCACCATGGTTAACATGAGGGCTTGAACTACTTGCAGCTTCTTGCAGTCTCATAAGCATATTCAACTGTTGAGAGAGTAAAACTGTGTCAGAAACTTATACTTTTATAAATGTGACTTGTACAGAAATACTTATACGTTCTGAATACATTTATGAAATTCAGGTGATAGAAGTAAATTTTAGATAAAAACTGAGACAACAGATGGCACTGTTATTAATTCATTTGGATGTTTTAATTCAAAATCTTCAGGATATTTAGAATAATTATTAATAACAAATATATATAAATGTTCAACTCAACAATAGAAATTACAAGATGCTTACAGAAACTGAGATGTCAGTAAAATAATGCTATAGAACAGTACTTGGTTATATCATTAAAATAGAAGCAAAATTAATGAAAGAAAAACCACAATTAAAACAAATGAAACTATAATTTTTATTAAAAAAGAATTAAATATATTGGGTAAGAAGATGAATTTTAAATGTTTACAGGACCAAAAAAACGAACATACACATTTATACTGTAACTATATTTATAATTATAAATAAAGTATAAAAATTAGATATGACAGTAAATATATATCATTCAGAAAAAAATAACTCAAATAATTTTTCATTGAGCCTAATTAGGACATGCTAAGGATAAATATCAAACGTAAGGTGTTTCTTTGGAGTGTATCTTAATAATACACATTAAAAAGTCACAATCCTAGTCAATAATATGTTGAGAAACGAATATGTAAACATTATCATTAATTATGGGATAACAATGTTCTGTGAATTACTACTAACCTTGTACTCACTCTCACCAATATATAACCTGAACCTAGGGTTACAGTTTGCGTAGTAAATTAAAAACTGATAGGCAGAAGAAAGATCCTTTAATAAAAATCAGTCCTTATCAATGAACAATAATTTTAATCTGTTAGTTGTGTTTTAAGTATAAGTTTGAATAAAATATTTCATATCACAGTAATTGGTAAACCGCACACATGATAGTGGGTTATGAAAACACTTTTCACCTTTCACAAGTTTTAAATTAAAACTTGCATTGAATACATCACTTAGATAGTTCACTCCTAGAAATTGTACCTTGTGAGCATGGTAATGCATTTATACAAATGTTATGATCATTTTTAATTGTATGTTATAAGTGTATCATAAGCAGAATATTAGTAATAAAAGTTTCTGTTCTTTAATAACTCTTCTTGGATCTGATACAATCAAGTGCAAATAATGCTTTCATCCTTCTTGAGACATTCAAGTGATTCCAACAGTATCATTTGGGGCTTTACACAGTTGCTACTGAAACTGTACTTTCTAATAATCCAGAAAATGTCAACACATGCATGCACATAAATTATTTTTACTTGGCACACATATTTAATACTTCTAATGATAATGGTGTTACCAATTATTATTTTCATGTTGTTGTTGATGATTAGTTAACTGTACATTTCAAATCAATTTAGTTATAAGTGCTAAGGCAGTACTGTCATTAATTTAAGTATAATACATGCAAAAAACTGTTATATAACTTTATTAGTACAGATACTGCTTTATGTAGGTGGATAAAATATTCTACTAAACCATAACTTTTGAAATAAATAATTGTAAGTTTATGCTTATCAGCATAGTATAGTACATAGAAACTGTGTAATATAACAAAATTTTAAAGCGTTCAAGTCTTTAACCACTAAACCAACAAGGAATTGACTTAGTTACCTCATAATCTGAGCTTTTCTTTTATAGAAATATAGCTACATGGTCATTAAACATTCTTACCTTATCTGAAAAAAAGAATTTTACCAAAAATAATTAAACAGTTTGTTCAGTAATTGTTAGGCTTAATAGTTTGGTATTAGTTTACCTCACATTACAATGTGTTAAAACAGCATATTCCCTTGTAGACCTACTTCAAAAACAGATGGATTCTTCAAACTGGATACGTGCAAAATACAGTAGTCAATATTTTCTAGAGATCATGTTTTTACATAATAGGTACACTAATGTTAATGGATCCTGGCTTTGTTTTTTGACCATACCCCTAAATTGAAAATTCATACAGTGAAATTGTGAGGTCCACAACTTGATATCACTGATCATTGTATGCTCTGATTGAGGTTATGCAGTGCAGAAAATGCCTTATTTAGGTCAAAGGTATCATCTTTCCCCTGCAGAACTTAACAGGGCTGTTGGAATGCTGCAGGGAGGCATGATTCAACGCAAGGCCAGTGCTGCTCTTGGCACATCCCAAAGTGTGGTGTCCAGGACCTGAAACAGGTTCAGATGATTTGGCAGACTGAATAGGAGACATGGTGGAGGAAGGAGAAGAATAACAACTCCACAACAAGACTGCTACTTGACCATCCAGGCTTGAAGGAATCTCTTTGCTCCAGCTGTTAACCTCCGTAACTTCCTCTAAGATGCCACAGGAGTCCGAATGTCTACACAGACAGAGTGCAGATGCCTTCAAGAAGCTCAGTTGATGTCCTGTTGTTCATGTTCCTTTAAGCCAACAGCACAGGCAGGCACAATTGCAGTGGGCTAGAGAACACAGGAGGTGAACTGCACAACAAAGGAGGGCCGTACACTTTACTGACGAGTCCTGCTAGTGTATGGACTTACTTGACAGAAGCAGAAGAGTTTGGAGAAGCCTTGATGAGTGCAATTTTTCTCAGAATGTCATCAAACATGATTGCTTTAGAGGAGGCTCAGTCATGGTGTGGGGAGGCATCTCAATTTCAGGCCATACTAACCTTGTGATCATCCGAAATGGAAGTCTTACCGGCCTAAGATATAGAGATAAGATCCTTACACCCATTGTTCATCCATATGCAGGTGCAACATGCAAGGGAAGTGAACGCCTTCCTGAAAGCTAAAGGAATACCCAGGATGGAGTAGCCAGCTAGGTCTCCTGACCTCAACCCAATAGAGCACATCTGGGAGCAACTACAGATAAGGCTACAAGCTCGTCAAGCCCCACCAAGAACATTCCAGGACCTGGAAGCTGCCGTTATTGAAGAATGGCAACAGATTCCACAACAACGATTGATTAATCTCATCATGAGCATGTGCAGATGTTGGGCAGCAGTCATTAATGCTCGAGGTGGTCACACAGACAACTGAAATAATCTTGACTGTGAATTGGACATTTCTTTGAATGACTGTTTTTGACATTTTTCTTGTTAACAATGTACCACAGGGCGCATTAGTTTTTTTAGGCTCTGTTATCCAAGTTAACTGTTACAGAATTTAATAAAGAGTAAAAATGAATTACCCAGATGTTTTTCTTCCTAAAATGTTCAATCTATACATAAAATTGTGATAGGTGTTTGGCATATACTCAAAATAAAACATAATCCCTAGCAAATGTTTACTGTATATAAGTATGCTTTTATTCAACTTCGTTAATATATAAATATTGTCAAGTTTCAGATCACCCAATACATTACAAGAGTACTAGAAAATGTGAAAATGTTAATTTTTCATTGAGACATACTTTTCTCTATTTGTCAGAATCCTTTCTAACTATTGTAAAATGTCTTACCAAAGGATCAGCTTCAACACTGCTTTGAGATGCTTTAGTAATTGTTCCTGGTGTTATAAGGCTTTCATATCCCACATCCTCTGTTCTTAGCCGGAGCAGCTGAGGCCAGTTTTTTTCCTCTGAAGTTGGCCATGGATAAGTTTCATAAACCCAATCTATTGGATCATTCCAGCATGCTTGACGACCATACAACTATGGGCATAGTGGTTGTGTAAATACAAGTGTTCAATAATCCACATAATTAACTCTAATAATAACTAAAAAACAGTCTTCAATTACCACAGAACTACAATAATAGCAAGAAAATGGTTTAGCTTATAAAGTTGAGTATTAGTAAGCATATTTGTCACACATCAGATGTATCTTTAACCATATAAATGTTACAAATATGTGTTGCTCAGGTATTCTGCAACATTAGCTTGCAAAAACATTATGCAGAGGATAAAATGAACATGGACAGCAAGAGAAAAAGTAGTAGACAAGTGAAGAAATATAACATTATCTTTACTGGAAATAAAACATAAATGTGTCTTTTACCATCTGGCTGGCTTCATATTTTTGTCATAACTCTCCTTGCTGCTAAAGCAGAAAGAAGGTTTCCATATGCATACAAGATAAAGACAGGACTAAGAAGAATGAAATATCATACTGTTAAGTCAGACCAGAGTCCTAGTGTGGTATCCCACAATCCTTACATTATTAAATCATTGTTCATTCTAATTAAACATAACTAAGGGAAATAACCCCCCCCCCCTCCAACTAACTCATACCAATTTTTACAAGTCTCTGTTCAACCACTTGGAATGAGTTGACCCAATTCCAGAAAGTATGACAAAGAAATAGAGTCAAGCAAGTATAAGCATATGAAACAAGTGTTTTAACATGTAATCTAATGCAGAGGATTAGAGTAAGATTACAACCTTCCCACATTTGTTTTACAAGGATGACACTTACTGTATGCAGAATACTTGCATGAAAGTTCAGAAACATTTATTGAATATACCTAATTAAAGATATACTTTTCATTAGTTATGGAAGAGTAATATGTGATGATATTTCCAATCATTATGGCAAAAAATTAATAATTTTTGGCCCTATAGTTTGCCTCATAGCCCTTAAACCCCATAATTCTGCTTCCTGAAGCTCTATAGAAAAGTAACATTTTTTTCAAATTCTCACTTATTGAATGAACAATATGTGGAGGATTTCTGCCAATATACTCTATACTCTTTTTCAACATAAACATGGGAATAAAAATACAAATCTGAATATTAAAAAAAAAAGAACTGAACTACATTTGGGAAACGGCAACAAACAACTGGAAGAAAAATATGAATCGGAGAATATTGGAGAATGAAAAGAATTCAAATAAAACGAATCTGAGAAGCTAAATTAAACATTTGCTTTTAAAAAAGAGCTGAATTGAATTAAGTTCAGGAAATGGCAACAGACAAATCAGTTAAAGAATTGGCACATTGGGTAGATATAGAAGTAATTAAGTAAATGGAGATGCTTGACTGGTACATTGAGGCACCTATGAATCATGAGAGGACCTTAGAATCTTGCAGTAGAGTGTAGGTATTTTATGCTAGTAAAACATATTTAAAAGAGCCCTTTAACTCTACCTGCAAGCCTTCACGAACAGCTTCCATAAGATATGGAACAATACTGTAATTCCATAGATCCCTAAACCAGACTTGGGAGCTGTCAACATCTATTGGACATGACAAAAATAATCTTGGACCTACAAAAGGATAATTAAAATATAAAATATTTAATACACAAAGAAGTTGACTAAATAAATAAATAAAATCATGCATACTAATTTTCGAAAGCCAATCTAAGTTGATGTTAAAAGAAAAGCAAACATTAAGGCACACATTTTGAGCTTTATACTTTTCTTAAGGAAAATTTATAATACTTCAAAGCTTACCACCTATATCTAGTGTTTTTAATTTTTTGACTTGGTCAAGATATAGATTTTGATGTTAATTAATATAACGTCACATGGTTTGTATGAATATCTATCAGAACAAAAAGAAATGAACAATGTTCGTACTACATCTAAAAAGAAGACTGAATAGCTTAAAAAAATATTTCATTTACAAAGACAACAAGAGTGGATATATAAATCAAAAACCACACTGAATTATAAAAGAGTCTTCCACACTTAAGACCTATATAAATACACTATTACAAACATCAATCTAAAAGTCTTTTAATAATAATATTAATAAAAAAAAGTATAAGCGTTATCAATTTTGGTAAAATTGTTAAACCAGAAAGAAACATACACCAGTGCTTGTGTCTTTTATTAATGGTCAACTAAAATAGTAGTTAATTTCTTATACTCTTAACATACCTATGGTGACATCAGATGAGCTGTGGGTTTCCAAAAATTTGTTCAAATGTGCCCACACTTTGGGTATCCAGTCTATGATTTTGGCAAGTTCTGGATTCTGTGAATCATTTTGGATTTCATGCTCTACAAGTTTTCTCCTTAGAAACCTACTCAAAAAACCTTTCACAGGCTCCATATGGTTAGCACATAGAATCCACCTACAGACGATAGATGCAAAATATACATTTGCTGACCTAAATTTAAAAGTTTTTACTTTATATAAATATAGGCCTGTATTATACATACCTTCTATACACCCCTCCCACAAAAAATAATATAATATTATAAAGGGAGAAAGTAAGGAATGATTCATTTAAGAAAAAGGATATATTGATGTTTAAGTGATATTAAATGATATTGTTACGTCTCTGGTTGTTTGTTAATTTTTGTAGAAATTCTTTCCGAG